AACCGTAAAGGATGAAGTTGTTGTTGGAATAATGTCACTAGTGGCAACTGCAACGAACTGTTCCATCCACCCACGGTCATTGTCATCATCCATGCTAGTCAATAAAGCATGGTGGCTACGTTTACAGAGATTTATCATACCTCCCAAAAATATCTTAGAGGAATAAAGGTTCATCATACGAGCTAATGATAACTCTTCCCCAATTTCCTGACACAGGCGTTGGAAGCAGGTAACCATCCTCCATACTGAAGGGCTCACCTGTACCAAGCACACTTGGTAGCGAAGGCAAAATTTCGCAATCACGGGATCGAGCTCTCCGCTCAAAGAAAACGCACCTAAAGTAAAGGAATACGTGAAAAATATGTAAAACCTTCCTTGGGAAGGGTTACTCGCTCCGATAAATCAGGAGCAATAATATCTAACTCAGGAAAGCGGCAGTCCTCCTTCATAGTAGGAATACTGGAAGGACGAATAGAAGAAGGGTACCTACTAACAACCCATGTGCGAGGTTTAGCAGTAGGAAATTTCTCTTCAAAATTCTTCGAAGTACTAAGCCTTCTTGGGATGATGGAACATACTGTTGGAGGAACAGAATCCTCGGTTTTGTTCTTGCCCTTTGAAGAACTAGCACGTTTTGAAGAGGAAGCCATTGGAATAGAAGAAAGGAAAATTTCTTGTTCGAAGAAGATCAGAGAAAGGCTGGGAAATAGAGATGCGAGTTAGAAGTTTGAGAAATTATGAAGTATATAAGAGGAGGCTGATGCGTATAAGTAAAATTTTGGCGGCTAAATTCATGGCTATGATTACCTCGATAATCGGCAAAAGTTGTGCTGAATCATGGGATGACGCGTGTTCGGGGCATTAAATGCGGAGAGGCGTGCGTCTAATCAACTGTCAGAAAACTTCAAAGGGAGTTATATTAATTCCCGCCAAAAAGGTGCTTTCTACCAACTTTCCAGTAACTCAAGATTGTGTCACCGGAAAGCAGGGAGATTATCTGTATAGGAAAAAATACGACATGACATGTGGCCGCTTAAAGGAAGGACACGTGGAACACAAGATGGCGATGGCCACCAATGACCACCGAGCATAGCTATTCCGCTTGTCATCGGAAGGAATAACGATCATAAAAGGAGTATTAAATGCTTTGCGCCCGGTAACATTTAATACAGAATATTTTGCAGTATTAAGGATGATGGTCCGTTACAAGGAATTTGGCATTTATGTCTAACGTTACATCTTCATCAATGACCCTTATAATTGACATTAAAGAAGAGCATGATCCTATGACTTCCTTTCCTAGACATAGCTATAAATAGAGAGCTCAGTTATCATTGTAAATGACATGAATTTTCTGACTGACTTACACTACATTCTATACAGCATTTTAATACAATTTTATTTTCTCGTTTTTGATATCATCATTGTTGTGCCCGAAAATTCTGTTCCCGGACCCATCAGCTCTGTCGTTCCATCTACATTCTAAGGTTAATTATTTATATTTCATCAGTTATTTCATTATCTTTTGGATCAAATAAATTCTCTTGTCTAGAAACTATGAACAAATTCAACTGTATCGTTTTACGGGTAAACAAAACGGACTAACGGAGTATACAAGAAATCAAGTTGAGGTGAATTGTATAGCAGTCCAAGTTTCAAAAAAATTGAGAAAAGCTTGTGTGTTGTTAATCGTCACCTTTTCAATGATTATTTTAGATAATAATTTCTTAGATGAACACTTTTTCTTTTTTCTTTTGACATATCACATTCCATTGTCAAAAATGCCAAAGAATTAATTACTACTAGTTTTTTTTTGCATTTTTTCCGGTGGAAATTGTAATATTTTAGTGACAGGAAGGGAATCGAGAATTTATGGCTACCTTGCACCAAAGCATCTTCAGTAATCTATTCCTCGTAGAATTTATTTATGGAAAGAAAGAGAAACCCTTAACAGAAAAATATGGCAACATAAATTTCATGGATTGGAAGACAAACTAATAAAAGAAAAAAGAAAACGAAAAATCATGAATGAAATATTTCCGGTCTATCACTGTCTTCTTGGTACTTTTCGCCAATCAAAATGGCAGACTTTTCTTCATCATAGTGGTCTAGTAACATAACAATAGCCATATGTTTATTTGGGTGGTCCTACCCTATTGTCTCAATATTCATTCCAAGATAAGTCTTTGACCTAATCCTTTGAGATGATTATACTAATTTTATCAAGATTTTTAGATGAAGCTTCTCTTTCAAACTGCATGATACGTAAGTTAATACTGAACTTTACGCAAATAGTTGGTCAAATCCATCCGTTATTTTTTCTAACCGATATATACAAATTAAGCAGTGGAATGTGTAACTATTTAAGTTAATTATTCGACATTAAAAGAGGTAATTATTTATTATTACAAACAAATTAAATATATTAAATTTTCCATATATATATATATATATGATTCGAACAAAAAATGTGAATAATATTATAATTGCTGTAAATACTGAACATACACGCTCTCTCTATATGTGTGTATGTTTACTCGTATAAATATACATATGGATATAGAAAGATATAAAAGGTTACCTTTTATTTGATGAGATTACACAAAATAGAGCTTTTTATTCTAGTGAGTGACTCATCAATCCTCCAGAAAAGGACCATATGCTTCATTGATTCCTAAAATATGTATACTTTAGGATAGTTGACGAAGCATCTTTGTTGGCATTTGCTCAAAGTAGCCAACGAATTATGCCTTAATTATTCCGCAAATTTACCCTATACTAAAACAATAATAGAGTGCCAAGTAAAGATTTCGTAACACATTAAGCAATTGTGACACTTGAGGGAAGGAAATTGATTGTCGGATTAAGATGGCAATCGATTAAAGCAAACGTGTATTAATTTGCTAGTATCTATTTTGTATAGCATGTTAGTTTCCTAGTGGGCTTGTATTTACACGTGCAACCATTTGTTAATGTACTTTTGTCAACAATTTAACCAAAAGTATTGATAATGCACCATTGGCAACTGGCAAAATAGTTGGGTAGCTTTTTTTTAAAGCAAGAGAATGTAATAAAATTAAACAAATTCTTGAATTTTATCATAATCCTAGTAAGAGAAAATTAGTTCATTAGCTAAATCCAAGGACAGCATTGAGAATTAATCCTGAATAAACATAATTCTAGATAGAATAAAAAGATGAGAAAATAACAAGTGGTTGAATCCAGATTAATGTTGGTGAGTAGAAATGGAAGTTGTAAGTTTTCATTAAAGATTGTGAATTTACAATGGAAGCTTTTGTACAATTAATCATCAGCTTGTAATCCACACAGATGTAGGCAATGTTAATCTTGAAATTTTTCCGAGAAGGATGAGAATTGAGAGTTATATCTCAGAAAGAGCAACGAATAGAATAGGAATACCACCTAAGCGTATGGTGGATTAATGTGTTTCCTCCCCTTTTACCAGATATTTTAGTTTCGAGCTCTATTTTTTTTGAATAATTAGAGTAGAACATGATGATGTAACAAGTGCATCACAGTTTCCTTCTAGTTAAAGATGTCCAAGAGGGAAGAGATAGGCCCAATATATGTCAAGATCATAAAAGACTTGTGGAGACGAGCCATGAGAGTATTTCCATTAAACTCGTGTCCACTACTATTTTAAAAATGACACTGATTGGCAAAAGAAGCCAAGTCTAATGTGTACCCTTAGGATATAAAATTATACTATCATGAAAATAATTCACATTTTGTGTTTGGTTTGGATTCGTTTTTCTTTTGTTTCTATAATTATTTTGTGGGAAAGTTCAAAACTTTGGAACAAGTACGATGGTTTACTGTTCCAATCCTTGGAAATAGATCACACTCCGCCTCCACTCATTACTTTACGGAACATTTCTTTTGTAAAAACAATTAAAGTATTCGATTTTAATATGATAATAAAATTTTATAAAGCTTTAGTGTTTCTTTTTAAATTTCTTGTCGACTAAACGAATCGATGAAAACCTAGAGAAATTGGCAATTCATGTTATATAGGTAGAAACAATTGGTGACATAATTATCTTGTTAAGACTAATTTGAAGAAATAAGACAATCAACATTAATAGTCTTAATACTCCACAGAATTATTTGGTACATATGAATATTTTGGTCCAAGGAATTACACATGATCATGAGATTCTTATTAAAAATCTGAAAGGTGAAAGAAAATCTGAAAGGTGAAAGATCAGGGGGACAGATATACCGATAGTTTCAATTCACTATACTAGGACATGGCTATGGTACTAAAAAGAAATATGGAAAGACTATTTTAGAGTTTTTCTTTAACTTCTAATTTTGTTTCAGCTAACAACGGAGTATTTTAAAAATACAAAATTACACTTTGTTAAAAGATATAAGAGCGGGTTCAAGAATAATCAAATGACTACATGCTTACACGAATATATGACACTTCAGCTGTGTATCTCCCATGTATCTATGTGTATCTTTTGTGTATTAAATATGTATCACTCGTATATCTCTTGTACATTCATGTATACCTATATACGAGATACATGTTCTCTACATATATTGTAGAGAAATTTTTAAATTCGATTTCAACTATGATTTTTGACTCAAAACTAATCCAAATCACCCCAATATTCCTCAATTTTTTTTATATTATCTTATCTATATATTTTCAATAAATTTTAACTATACTCATAAAAAAATAACTTTTGCCTATACTTTTTTGAATTTATATATCATTTAATCACAAAAATTAACTCCAAATCACCTCCAATCTCTCTTAAATTTTATATATTGCTTATTATGTGTTTTCAATAAATTTCAAACATACCCATTGAAAAAAATCATTTTTTTTCTTAGATTTTTTTAATATTGTGTTTCATTGGTAACTTTTTATGGCTACTTTGGTAGTAACTAATTGTTGGTAGATATTGTCTATTTATGACTACTCCTGTAGTTTCCTCCATTTAAATCCGACTCTACCCATACTTTTCTCCAAGTTTGACAACTGGGCTTGGGCTTGTTCTAGGTTTGGTCTTGAATTAAGAGAATCCAAGTGAGCAAATTATTTAATTATTTCAACTGTCAAAAACAGTAACAGAAATCAAAGAGTGCAAGCAAAAGGAGAAGAAATGGTGAAAGCAGTAGTGGGAGAAGAAATACAGCTCAAATTAGCTGAAAATCGGCTTGGCAAATCTGGACTTCCTTCTCAGGTATCCAATTCATGTATAACGGAAATAACATATAAACACTAATGATATTTTTTAACAGGTAGGGCTTGTAATTGGGAATTTGAGTTCGAAATTAGATCGAGGATTCCTATTTGATTTAATCCCAACGCCGCCAAACGACGACGGTAAACCGGCCTGTTCCATAATCAGCGGCAGCGTAAAAGATGATCGGAAAAAGACATTGAAAGGGAAGTTGCAGCCTGATTCTTCGGCATTGTTCATTGACAAAGATTGGGTTGCTGAACACGCTCGTCAGGTTCACTTTTTAGCCTTTTTGTTTTTCTCTACTTTCTGTTATGTGTATTTTATGTCTGCTAAATTATGAGACATTGATACCAAATTGAGGTATCAGGTGACAAAGCAACAATGGTATTGAGATTGTGTGGTGGAGCACTGGTGCTTCACTCTACAATAGAATAGTAGCAATTCAATGAGAAGAAGAAGAAGGGGAAAGGAAGAGAGAGAAGTTTAGACTAAGGAACCATATTGTATTATCATAGCATAAGTGTGATATCCAAGTTACAAAATCCTACTTAAACCCTTAGACACACAAAAATGAAATGCTCAAATAAATGTACTGAAAATACTCTTAACTAACTTTCCCGCCAAAATAAAAATTACAACTTTAATTTGAAAAATCCTACTCATCAGCCTAGTTAGCTTTTAGCTGGTCTCCATATCACCTGTTACCCCATTTTGTGTATCAATATACCCTGGATGAACAACACCCTCGTCCTCAAGGGTGAATAAAGGAAACCTGGTTCTTAAAGCAGAAGCAAACTCCCAAGTAGCCTGAGAAGCATCCAAGTCTGTCACATTTAATCAGGCATTGTGCCACTGCCTTGTGACTCTTCTTAATCAACCTCCTTTCCAACACAGCTTCTGGAGTTGGACATAAAGAACTAGCCAAATCAAGTACATGAGGGTGCACAGTTTCAGTGGGAATATCATAGCAAAACTTCATCTCAGAGATATGAAAAGTAGGGTGAATCTAGACCTCAGGGGGTAACAAAAGTTTGTAAGCAACAATCCCTACTCTTTCCACTATAACATCCTCGTCAATCTCCCGATTACCTTGTATCTTGGGGATGACTTGTGTATCAAGTTTCACGTCTACTTCTGCTTCATACATCCCAACACTAAACTTGCACTCCGAGTATTCTGTTTTGTCCTACTAAACTTAAACCTTTAGACTCCAAAGTCTGTCTTCACATCTCCAGCCTAGCGTTTACCCCACAACGTGTCTCGTCAATCAGTACTATTCAATATTATCAAAGGCGCACTTAAGCCCTGAAGCGAGGCTTAAAACATATTGAGCGCTTCGCCTCGCTTAGCGAGCACTTCATCGTTGTCATCAAACCTCTAAGGCATACTTTTCCAAGCCAATGAGCGTAATCTTGAAGAGGACCATACTAAACAATTGATACTTCACTTTATTGTAAATTTTCTTCATTTTCTTAGTCCATATATTTGGTATTGCTTATAGATATTAGTTTTGGTCTACACATACATATTTGTAGTTTTTCTCCATTTGCGCATTTCTTCGTTAAAGCCCATGCTTTATTGCGCTTTGAGCTTAAAGCCCCAATATACCTTAGAGTTTTTTTGCGCTTTTCGCCTTTGATAACACTAGTACTATCTTATCTGCAAATAACATACACCATGGCACCTACCCTTGAATGTGTCGCGTCAGCACATCCATCGCCAGGGCAAACAAAAATAGGCTAAGAGCTGATCCTTGATGCAACCCCATCACCACTTGGAAATAATGCGAGTCTCCTCCCACAGTCCTCACCCGAGTCCTAGCTCCGTGGTAAATATCCTTAATCACCCTAATGTAAGCTACTGGAACTCCGCTAGCCTTCAAACATCTCCATAAAACCTCCCTTGTGACTTTATCGTAGGCTTTTTCTAGTTCAATGAACACCATATGCAAGTCCTTCTTCCTCTCCCTATACTATGCTACTCCATCAATCTCCACACAAGATGAATAGCTTCTGTAGTCGACCTCCCCGGCATGAATCCGAACTGATTCAGATGCTAAAATGTGGTTATAAGTTCCAAATATAAATTAGTGATTAGTTTTCTAATTGTAGATTTCTGTTTTTCTCTTTCTATTCACAAACATATCATTATCTTCTAACAATTAAAAATATAGCTTTGCTGACTTCTTATTGTTTAGTGCTGCCCTTTGCTTGACAGAGCGTGCATGCGTTGAGGCGCACATAGCGCCTTGGCGCTCGCATTAAAGCGCCTTTCATTTTCTGTGATGTCCTTAAAATTACGCAACAGTAATACTTCTATTGCTCTTACTCTGTATAATGCAAATACCTTCTCTACCCGACAAACTACCATCAAAACTTTGTAGACTTGTGTATGAATTCTCTTTGTCAGAACATTCAAATAGGTATATCAGATTTAAAAAGTTCCTCCTGCCCTCCTTCCTTACCTTAGGGTGTTCTGCTTGTGACTTGTCAATTTTTAGTTTCCTGAATCGTTTGGACACTAACTTCAGATTTCATGGAAAAATGCCATCTTAGCGAATCATCAGCATATTATAAATCATGTAAATCCTCTATGTAGCTTATGGTTTAATATCTTTATCTTTCAGGTTGGGAGAATGCTATTGGGTGGCATGAAGGTGGTTGGCATTTATGTCTGGACCAATGAGAGCTCATTCAAAAATTCAACCATCACACTTTGTCAGGTTTTGCTATCATAACTTGAAGTTATAGTCATCTTCACTGCTTCGTACTGAGGGTCTATCAGAACTGCAGTATTGTGTTATTTCCTTGAATAGGAGGCTCTTGTGTAGTCTGTCTCCATTGTTTTTTCTTTAACTTCAGTTACCTTCCAGAAAATTTTTAGTGAAACATGAAACTTATAATTTCCAATTTCCATCACTCGTAATTACTTTTCAATGAAAAATTCTGTCATTATTGGTATTCTTACTCTCTTTCTCGTTTGCTAATGGTATAACTGTACAGACTGCAAAAGCAGTTTCTGAAGCGGCCCCTCTGTTGGAAGTGGATTGGGACGAGAGATTGCTTGTTCACATTGGTTACAGTCCCTTGAGGTAACTTTGTGTAACTATGTGTTGTTATATTCAAGTTGGCCCTTATTATTGATTTAGCAGATAATGTATTCCAGGTGGACTTGTCGAAATTGCTCGCTGGCTTCAAATATTACGTCAAGCAGTCTACGACCTTGTGACTTTAAAATGGGAAAAGTTCTTAGTACCCTTCAGGCATTCAGATGCACATTTAACTTTGATTTAAGGTGAACTTTGTTTGCTACTGTTATTGCTCATTTGTTATATCATTCTTTGATGTATTGGACAGAACACTAGCTCTGATTTCTTAGTGCCACATTTCAGATTAAAAAAGAAGTTCCATCTATCTCAACTCATTTGTTTCGTTTTTGATTGTATGATTGTTGGTTAGTATATTTCTGTTTTGGCATGACCAGGAGGCAAAAAATCCTTCCGCTTTTGCCCTGGGATTGTAGAGAGGTAGGAGAAGTGCCATATTAGTGTGTCATTGAAGAACATTAGCCAAAATCGTGAGTCAAAAAATTGCTTGTCTCAAATGTTGGGAAACTTTGGTTGTTGAACTGTTAGCTTGTATGGCAGTATGGCATTGGGTTTATTTTTTCTGCACTAGTATGATAGAAGGAAGAAAGAGATTCTTNCTGCTGCAAATTTAGATCAAGTGGTATGCAATAAAGTGTTCAACGACTCCTTTGGTTGGTTGCAGCCAATTTATATTATTAATCTCAAGTCTGTTAGGATCATTTTGGTGCAGCAAAGAAGTATGATTAATAAACTACTACCTCCATGTGATGGTGAACTGGAGGTTGTGTCTAGATTAGGTCAAGCACTTTCTCTTCTCTGTTTTTGACTTTTTATTGCTTTACACTTACTTTTCGTGTGATGTATCCCTATATAATATATCTCCCAGACTAAGGTATACTCACCGTGCCAGTGGCAAAAATATTCAGTTTTCTGACTTTCCTAATATTAGGTATGTCAAATATGATATTTTCTGCCAGAATCATGGCTCTTGATGGATAAATCAGAACCATTATTGTGCATTCAAGACACTGTTACCATCCCCTAGTTCATGTTTGCGACAAAAATGGTTCACTTCAAACTTGTGTTACCTTGTTAGTACCGCCATATAACTCGTGAACTGTTTCCCCTGTTCCTAACCTTTTGTTTTTTCCTGAAGTATAAAAATCAATTATGTTTGTTAATTCTTTTTAGTGAATTTCTTTAGAGATCTCAGAGAAGTACAGAAAATTATCTCACGGTTGAGCAATGTGTTTCCAGGTTGCCCATTTCCGAGGGTTTAATTAGCAAAAGATTGGCTGACATTCTTCATCATGGAATTTCAATTCATGCCAATGAGCTTAAAAGTGCCAAGGCATTGATTGATGGGAAATTGGTAATGAACTCTGAACTTCTGGTATCAGTCTAGATCAACCAATATCCTTAAACTTGGATGCTAGTTTTCCTCTTCTGCATCCTCATGTCCACGCCTTATGGTTTTACTACCTCCTGGTGTTGGAACTTGTTTTTTCCTTTCTTTCATTTGAATCTAACAGAAAAGACGCACTCTAAATGGTTCTGGTTCTTGAGTAATAACATATCAAAGTGGCATTAAAATATGTGATAGGCTGCTCCTTTAGACTTGATTTGCTTGCTGGCCCTTTATCAAAATATGAACCCGATCTCCTTCCTTGGTAACTATGCCGGGTATTTTTCACCTTCTTTTCTTTCATTTCTAGGCAATTGAAGATGAGCAATTTGATTCAGGCGGCTTACATGATGTTGAATTCCTCCTACCTTTCACGGAAGATAAGTATTTGGAAGGTCTGTAAATATTTTCCAATTTACACAATTAGCCTTTCTTTTGAATTTAACTAAATATAAGCTAGTTGCTGTATAAATAATTTCAGCTTTCTCTCATTCTTTTCTTTTTGTATTTTGTTTTTATGAAGCATGCAGACAAAAGGAGGTAATAGGTCTTCTAGTCTTTAGTGGCTCTATCTGCTCCTATGCTTACTCAAATTCGAAGGAACCAGTTTCTCAAGCTTTGACTGACATAAAGGTATTTTAACTTTGCATCTGATGGTGTTTGCTTAAGGACTCAATAATTTAGTACATTTCTCTTGCTTATGCATTCGTGGACGTTAGAGGTGTTTCAATAGATCTGGATCCATTTGTTTGCCTCCAAAAAGCCATATTATCAGAGCATATTAGATGGATTACTGGAAGCAGAAAGCTTCTTTTGTGTTTTCTCAAGATCACAGGTGCATAGTACAGCTGGTTCTAGATTTAATGTTGATTTTACCTCAAAAGGAGTATTTTACTGTTTGGATTAGTGGTTAATTTGAATTTATCTTACATTTGCTCTGCTTGATGTTAAATCGTGGCTCCTGGTTGTCTTCTTGTTTTTTGGTCAGCATTTAACTTCTGGTCTTCTTGTTGCTTAGGAAGACATAATTAAGAGTCTAAGAAGCAGATTAGATATCATGTGTGATGAGGCAGACAGAGAATCAGATTCTAAAGATGACAAAACTGAAGAGAGCAGCAACCACATATTGAATGGGAGTGCAGTTCTGCAACTTGATTTACAGTTACTGAGGTATAACACGGTCTAATGGAATCTTTTCTCCTCTAAATGTCCAAAATCAACACTGTGACTTCTTTTCACCATGACATCCTCATCCGTTTGCAAAATTCTCTAGTTCTTTATCTATATGGTCTAAGCTTTAGTATTTTAATGAGATTCATTTGACTCTTTATAAGCTTTAAATTCTAAATTGAGAACTTGACACTTCCTCTATCATTTTCTTATTGAGAACTACAAAAGTAAAATTGTCATTGGTCATATTTATGACCCTATGACTGGAAAGGACGTGACCTCTTTTTGACCTTATAGATGGGATTCTCATTAGCTGTGTTTATTGTCTCTGAGCAGCGTTCTATCATGTTCCGCTTACACCAGATTCATAATAAAAATGTACTCCTTGATGAGGCACAGATAGTTAAGTTATTTTGCTTTGTCGGTGAAAATAACCTTATACTCACAGAAGGAAGGTCCATTACGTCAATATACAGGGCCACAGTTTGTTTTATTACATGTTGAATATGGGATACTCAGGGCATATAGTGACAACTCATTCTGGACGAGTGTTCCCCTGTTTTCAATGGTGATATCACTTTTTTTTCCTAGCATGTGGAAGTGTTATGCGTTTTGCCATATATCTTCCTGTATGTATAGTTGGGCCACAATTGAACATGGTGCAGGAGATCCCCCATCATTAACATTAGTGTGTACTGTAGTTGGTCTGACTTAGATGAATTTAAACGGAGAATCATGGTCAGTAGCTTGTCTGTTGTTTCCATACCATAGTAGCGTAATGATGATGCCGATGATGATTACTGTTGTTTTTATATTGTTGTAGTTTTCTTGATAGAGTAGCGTGATTATTGTTATTAAAATCTCAGATTAAAAGAATTTCATTTTGCTTATCAGTTTTGTAGTTTCTCACACTTTGACCTTCATCTTTTACTAGACGGTAGTCGGTAGAAGTTGGCTTCTTAATGATGCTGAAATGGTTTGTTAGTTTAGAGCTATGTACATAATATAGTCTTGTCCCATATTGGAATAGGAGTAATATGTCCTTGTAGTGTATAGCTATAAATAAGGATCTCATGTATTGTATTCATCATCTCATATCAATAATATATTTTTTCCCGTACTTTATGGTATCAGAGCAATTGTGAGAGATTTATTGCTGTGCATAAATTCCAGCGACTCCGAGAAGAGAAATTGGTCACCGGAAGTCTTTTTCCGGCAACTTTTTCCGGCAACTTTTTCAAGGCTGTTTGCGTCTGCTTTATCTCCGTCAGTGTTGTGCAAAATCCAACACTACCACAAGAGTAGTCATTGTCCGGCGACCAAACCCCAGTAAAAATCTCCGGCAGAAGCCTCCTCACGCGCCCCCACGCGTCACCAGAAGCTAAGGCGCATGAGCTCACGCGCCGGCGCGTACGCCCTCTTCCGGCCATTTTTTGAAAAAGTCCTTTCATAACAGTTGGGTCGTCTGGTAATTCCGATCCTACCCCTACTGTTTTTGTTTCATTCCTACCACTTTTTTCCGTCAGCTACAGTAACATTCTGGCAGCTACAGTAACATTCCGGCAGCTACAATAATTCATTATTCTGTTTCAGTGTTTCCTTACTCAGTTTCAGTGGATTACAGTTGATTCTTTCTCTTATTTGGTAATAATTTGCAACGATATCTTTGGGATTTGATGTTTTTGGGTCTAAAAACATAGTTCTGGAAGCTCTAGTGTTATGATTACCTCGGAATCTTTAATGGGAAGTTCAAACTACTTAGCTTGGGCTTCATCTGTCGAGTTGTGGTGTAAAGGTCAAGGTGTTCAAGATCATCTAATCAAACAGTCTAGCGAAAGAGATGAAAAGGCGATAGCACTTTGGGCAAAGATCGATGCTCAGTTATGTAGCATCCTGTGGCTTTGATTCCAAGTTGATGCCTTTGTTTCGTCCATTCCGGACATGTTATTTGGTTTGGGCAAAGGCTCGTACCTTATACACTAAT